TACTGTACATCACTATTCTACTCTGGACAGCTGGTGTAACATTTCTCACAGGCTGCAGGGTGCATACACAGCAGCATGACAGCTCCCCAAAAGTGAAGCCAGATCATCCCGGTTGGTCGGCTGACTGGTAGTTTAAGGAGCACTTGGTTTGATATGCAGCAGAGTTTTTTTTATGATTTTACAATTTTAAACGTCAATGTCAATCGCGATTCATAGTCGATTAATTGTGCTGCCCTGTGACAGACTGTTGAGGAAGTTAAAATCATACGGGAGACACTGACACACTCGAAACAATACCACCTGACCTTGAGACATGTGTTTCTGTCACTCCATAGCAACCGGTCAGGCCTGATCAACGCTCTGTCTTCCTACCTCCTGCTCTCATACACACAGCGACAAAGAAAAGATAGCGGGAGAAGAAAGAGGAAATATTTTCAGTGTTAACTGTTGGTCTGCATGCTGTATTCAATATCCATTGCCTTTATTACCGGAGGCATATCCCTTGACATCACTGTGATCCGATTCCAAGAAGTTAAGAAACGTTATTTTGTTACATAGCATCTCTTCAGCTCTGCAGTCTCTGCTTTGTATTTGGATACTGAAATCCAATTGACATCGCGTGGAGCCAGACGCTCCATCCAATCAGCTGGTGCGGCCTCAGACACTGGCCCACTTTCAGTCAATCGCGAGCAAAGAAGTGGAGCTCCCACATACTCAGCTCAATTGTGCAACCAACTCAGCAAACACTGTTCTGATGTGCTCTGATGCTTCACAGCCGCCTGAAGTCTGAGGAGCAAACATTGGAGAGTGTTATCTGTTCCTCAGTCAGTCACGCCTTTCTCTTACCTACATGAAAACAGTACATAACAAGAACTGGGGTTCTTTAGCAGCTGCATTTACAAAAGCATACACATGGAGGAAAGTGGAAATATGATTCTCATGGTTTCTTCAAAGAAGCAGCAGAAGCAATCAAATGCTTTCCATGAATTGCTGTGGATCACCATAGCAACGCTTGTTCTTCCCATTCACTTGTGATCAGGACTTTTCTAAATGAAGGCCTATATTAGCCGTGATCATCACATAAACACTTATCTATTAGTCGATTTCTGAACACTAAATCGTGTCAAAATACTGATTTATTTCACAATAAGTGATGTTATACAAAGTACAGCTTGTTAGTATGGCAAAAAAGTTAATAATTGCAATATGCCACAATAACCAGGTCACTGTGTATTTTTATAAAGAACTCAAGAGCCAACTGATCAATACATATGACTTGTGTGTGAACAATTTAACGGATTAAACAGGACTGCTAAAGGGACACCGGGGACAGAATTATACAGAAGACAGTACAGAAGCTGACAAAAGGACAAAAGTAATATATAATTTTCAATGAACAATAAAAAGGGTTTGAAAAATATCTGGTATGGATGCAACAGTTTGTAAAAGAACATAAGATTCTAACCTTTACCTCCCACTGTATTGGACATCTCGTTAAAAAAAAACTGAATTATGGAAGGGGAAGATGTACCAACTGACTGATTCTCAGTCTTTGTCTATATACATTTATGAAACATGGGACTCAAAAGTGCTTGATATTAATTGGTATTGAATTATCTTGATTTTTTTCTAACTTTTTTGTTGACATCTATAGCAACCTTACTTGCAAATATGATAGATTGGGCATGTAAAAGATATGCATATTAATTGATACTGTTTTTTGCATCCTTTTCTTAGAGAAGCCAGTAATGGGTTTCTACCTCGTGCACTAACACTATCACCAAACTTGTCAAAGGAACGGCAGTCAGTTGCAATGGCAAACTAAACCTGATTGTTTATTTTCATTAAAAGGTCATTCAAATATAAAGCTGTATTTCTGAAAAATTTGCTTGAGTATAATTGTTTCAACCAACACACCACAGCCTTACTGATTGTGGTTGAACAGGTTAGCCTGATGTGATCCACCAATCAGAGCTTCGTTAACTTTTCAAACAGCCAGTAACACTCATGTTGTTACTCGTGGCTTACTTCCCACTTCCCCATTCTATTGGAACAGATTCAATAAAAAAAGATCACGGTTTGTGGAGTGGGTGTTCCCAAGAAGATCGGCTTGGATAGATCTTGTTAAGGAACAAATGCAGATAAACTTCAGATTTGTTATTTAAATTAAAAAAAACAACCTCTTTCTTTCTTTTTTCTTTTTAATATCACAGATTTAATTATGCTACATTTACATCCATTCACTTCTGCTTATCCAGGGCCAGCCGGCTTTGGAGGGAATTCCAGACGTCCCTCTCCCCAGCGACGCTTTCCAGCTCTTCCTGGGGAACCCCAAGGCGAGACGAGACATGTAATCTCTCCAGCGTGTTCTGGGTCTACCCCGGGGCCTCTTACCAGTCGGACGTGTCCGGTTCAATGCCTACAGCCCTGCTGACCCCCACCGAACCGCTTGTCCATCTCGCGCTCCATTTTATCCTTACTGGTGAACAAGACCCCGAGATACTTGAACTCCCTTGCTTGGGGCAGTGACTCATTCCCAACCTGGAGGGTGCAATCCACCGTTTTACGGCAGAGAACCATGGCCTCAGACTTGGAGGATCTGACTCACATCCCGACTGCTTCACACTTGGCTGCAAACTGCCCCAGTGCGTGCTGAATGTCACGTTCTGAAGGAGCCAATAGAACTACCTCATCTGCAAAAAGCAGGGATGCAATGTTGAGGTCCCCAAACCGGACACTCTCCTCCCCCCAGCTGCGCCTTGAAGTCCTGTCCATGAAAATCACAAACAGGATTGGTGACGAGGGACAACCCTGGCGGAGGCCAACACGCACTGGAAACGTGCTTGACTTTGTTGGAGTATCCGGCCACAGCTCTCACTTTGGTCATACAAGGACCGGATGGCTCGTAGCGACGACCCAGGTACCCAGTATTCCTGCAAAATGGGAAAACTCCCATGACAAGGGTAAAGAGCTGGTCCGCTGTTCCAAGGCCAGGGCGAAATCTGCATTGCTCCTCCTGGATCTGAGGTTCAACAATCGGTCGGAGCCTCCTTTCCACCACCGTGGAATAAACTTTCCCGGGGAGGCTGAGCAGTGTGATAATTGGAGCACACTCCCAGGCCCCTCTTTTAAAAAAATGGGAACCATGTGGATCGGCAAGGCACAGCCCGAAAAATCTTCAGGGAGCCGCCGCCCTGTGGTGGGATAGGCATTGGGGTCGGGTGCAATGTGAGCTGGGAGTCAGTCAAGAGCAGGGATCTAGGCCTGCCAACCCCCGGCATCGCAGACTAGCTCTATATTCACATCCGCTCAGGTTTTTCTTTTCAGTGTTATTAGCATTAGCATACACTGATAAACGGGACCATTTACAAAGTTTATGCTTGGCAAAAACACACAGTCTGCACACAGAAACCTACCATGCCAACAAGAAAGAAATGACTTAGTATTTGGACCAACTGTTATTGAGAGTCGCGGGGCAATGAATATAACAAGAGTCTACTTAGCACAGCGTCATCCAGGAGACCGTTGCTCGTGTCCCGCATGAAACCAAAAGTAGACATCGACTTGATGTTCGTTACGCAACGTTGTTTTACATAGTTGAGTAGAGTGTCATGTAACGTTACGTATGAAAGTCCGTTAAGGGCGGTTGTTATGTATTTACAGTAGTAACGTTATCACATTTCGCTGTTACATTATTATTTCGACAAGAACCAAAATCTTTTTTCTGCTGACTGGATTGTATGGGGAGAGGTCAGAGGTTTTATGCAAAATACACACTGCTTACACTTAAATGATACCACAATAGTGAATCATCTCAGAATTTAACTGGAATTATTGTATTTGAATGTTTATGAGGCATTTGGCCTTGATCCTAAAGATAAGGGGTTGCAGCTTCCTTGACCTGCTGTCTTAGTCTCTCAGTCTTTAACTAATTGGATCAATCCTGAGGCTTTAATTAGAACCATCAGGTGGTCCAAACTAAAAGAGGCTGTAGGAACAGGATTAACTCCAACAGGTTCACACATATGTGCACACATTATATATATATTCCATAGAAACATGGAGTGGCTTCAGATGTATGCCATTGTTTATCCTACATATAGTAATAGAGAGGAAGAAAGAGAGGAGGAGCAGAACTACTTTTGTTGTAAAAAAAACATCATGATGTTGTTTGTGTAACGTTTGTCACCACTGGGAGCATCAAACAAGACACACAGAGACTAAAGCTGGCTTACATTTAGCCCATGAACCAACACAGCAGCTTCACTGATGACATCCACTGTTTATTGACAGTAAATCCACAAAGTCCCTGGAGGCTCTTAAATACACCTGGAAACCTAAAGACGGTCGTTTCCACACATAGAACCACGAGGTCCATATGTCACTATATATAAACAGCACCCGACAAAATACCAAACAGGTTACTTTTTATTTTTTTTAATACAGTTAGCAGTTTTGCTCATAGCCATAACTGATCACACTGCTTCGACCTGTTCCTGTTACAGGATCAAGCAATAGGAAATCAATGTATCGATTTCCTGAAGCGCAGCTGCACACTGAGTCTCTTTATGAACGAGGGGAAACCACACCACAGCACCGAGCAGAGGGAAACCCCGCAACTTTCCGACTGACATGTTGGCGCTCCTGAGCCCTCGCCATCTGAACACTTCACAGCAGTTTTCAATGGGAGATGGGTCTTCTTCATAGGAGCGCGAGGAGGAGGAGGAGGGGGCGTTAATCAAAAGTGAACACAGCTGCGCGTGTCGATTCTTCATTCTAATTACCGGAGTGAGTGACGTAATTGGGACCAACGAATAGGCTGTAGTGGCAATATGGTACCCGATGGTGATAACACAGCCAGTGCTGTGAGCATAAAGCTAATACTACACTCTATCAATTAAACACAGGAGAACCACATGACCACAGCTGGGCCGACACAAATGCCGTTTTAATACAACGTTTATTCCCCAAACATGCAGCCACACATACGGGTTTCTTACCGTAAAAGGCATTTCGCGTTATCTGGCCACCCATTGCTTTATTCCCGTAGAGTCCGCCTATCGCCTGTATGGATTATTCAGATACTCGCGTTTGCACAGTCCGGCGCTCGTGACATGATTGCACGTTCGCGTCCGAAGGCAGCCTATCGCTTCTATCCCTTCCGAATAGATGCAAACGCGGACCCACTCCCTCTTTTTTGTGAGCGCAGGGACAACATCCGTGAAGGCAACTCCCCCCCCCCCATTCACTGAGCGCTCTCTCCGCCTCCGGTCCCACTCACGCTCTCTCTGCGATTTACATAAAAGGTGGAGACTGGCTGAGCGCTTTTAACGCTGTCGCTGCCGCACTGAGCGGACACTAGAGGGGTCTCTGTGGAGCGCGAGGTGGGCGTAGCGACCAGTCCCAACAAACAAAGTATTGGGCTGTGTAAATATATATTGACCTGTGTTATATGTTTTATATTAATTCAGTCATGAAGAAAAACGAGACAGTGTACATATCCATGTAAGACTTTGTTGTTTAAAAAATAGTATAGGCTAAGTATGGATCCAGAACCTCAGTGGTCACATTCTTTGCTCTCAGCACTCTCTCTTTCACCTTCCATACTTCCTTATGTGCCTCAGGCCCCTGGCAGACAGAGCGGGTGACCCCTCAGGAGTCAGGCCTCTGACTTGAGCTGTCATCGCGTATCCGTGGTGACCTCACGGCCCTCAATCTCAGACACCTCTGTGTTTACTTTGGGCACACTGGCACTTTGAAGGACAGGCCGAGTGAGATAAATTACATCTATGAATTAATGACCAAAAGAATACTGGCTGAAAGTAATTATGATATATTTTTCCACTCATCCATGTTTGGTGCTATTGTTATTCACCTGATGTAAAAGGCCTGTGCTAAGAGGAGAGTTCAACATAGCCTGGGTCTCTTTTCTTATCTGGCTTAACTAACCCTAACAACAACAATCACACTCGTCAAGTACATCAACCCGGGGTTTCTCAATCTGGCTGTGAGTGCGTTCACATAAAAGGGGCGGTGTTTGCAGCATGTGACCAATCACAAAAATTGACAATTCTACTCAGCAAACTGTATTATTGGTCAAAGTCAAAGAAGTTAAACACATAATCCAGGATAAAAGTAACACAGCTGCAGTCGCCAAATGCAGGAAGGACAGCTGGCAAGAAATCACCGACTGTAAATGAAATAAATGAATAGGAAATCAACAGACTGATAATATCACTGCCCCATCCAAAGCATGGGTGGATCTGACTTCAATTACATTTGTGTATTTCACTCAATTCATTTCTTGCCTAGATATATTCTCATAGAATGTAATAGGCTAGAATAAAAGGTACTCTATTCATCCCCTTGGGTAAATTTTGGCTTGTTTGATTATTTTAGCTTCATTCTTTCAGCTGCAACCCCAGCGGTGTGAAAAGGACTTGGGAGCAAATAAAAAATAGCATAAATATAAAAATATCAAGCAAAGCTTTAGGAAGGCTTAGTTTTATTTCTTAATCACCGACAGCATACATAAAAGTACAGGTAGCACATGACTCTGACGTGTCACACTGCAACATACTACTTAAGATGCTATTTCAGATGAGTGAATGATATGATGAATATAATGGTTTTGTGTTTTTATTGCCATATTTACGTGAATGGTACACAATTGTACACGATTTCAGTCACATTTTGGATCATGTTCAAATACTTGAAATTATTAGTAATTTTTGCATCATTCATGTTCTGGAAATTAAAAATGAAAAAAACATCTATTGGGAAAAGGAGAATATTCTAATTGTTCATCAGGACTCATTTAGGGAAATGATGAAATTACTTGAATTTCAAAAGATAATGAGTAAAAAAAACAACTGGCTGCATTTTGCTGTACATTCTCTGTTTAAAGCATTACCTGGTAAATCATGCAGGTAATAATATTTATTTTCCCGTCACTTTTAATAATTATGACCATATAACCATAATAAATACACTAGCCTTGCCTGGGATGTTGATCAAAATGAAATCAGGACCACAACCACAAGGTTCGGTTTGCTAAATGAGACACTTTAGACACACACATGGCGCGCACATTTGAGGTGAAGACAGTTGATGGGAAGTGCTTCTGGCAAAATGAGGGGCTAACCACATTTGGTTTCATGCAGCACCTCTGCTGACAATTGTAAAAATCTGGATACAAGAAGCCTAGCTGATTTAAAGGAGCAGTATTTAATATTCTGAACATAGACACTATGAATATAGTGTATATGTAAAGATATAGAGGAGTAATGTCTACCAGAGCAGTGAATGAAATCTCTCTCTCTGTGTGTGTTGCTATCACAGCTTCTCCTCTCTTTGTTCACATAGCTAGCCGGCCGCCCGTGTGCCTTTTAGTGCATCTTAGTGCATGTGAGCGTGCCTCACTGGTTAGCTCACGGCCGCCGCTCTGCTCTGCTCTCATACAGCGGTTACAGCTGATAATGCCGTCCAGACAGACAGCGTAAACACTGCTGTCAGCACTCGTATACACTCGTTAGCACTGTTAGCACTGTTAGCTTCCTTGCACCTTAAAGCCAATGCAAGATTACTTTCAAGACATGACAAACAACTTGAAATTAGCTTCCTGATTGCGTTCATCAATATTTATAAGTTAGATAAAAATCCTTCCTTTTCATTTTGATAAAATGGAATAATTAGTTAATAGCATAGAATGATTTAAAGTCTAGAGATAATATCTTGGTCTGGACTGACTCTTATTCTGACAAAAAAGCTGTGATAAAAGTAACACCAACAAGTCAGTTGAGTCTTCAAGGTCTCCCCAGGGATGACATCATTTCACCAAGGTATAACAGCTCTTTGTCACGCAAGGGATGCGGCTGTAAGAAGAGCAGCGACTGGACGCCAGACACGTTTCAGGAAGAAACATCAGACCGGGTTTTTTAATGTAGCCATGTCTTGTAACCTTGCTGATACACAGTAGAGGAAAGGCCTGAAGTGAAGTGCACTTCCTTGCCTGGTTTGACGTTGGTGCTGTACATGATTGCATTGCTAGAACATCCTTCCTTTGTACAGAGCCTTTTACTTCCTGTTTTAATAATGCAGCCACCACTCTGTCGACCTTAACCTTTATGCATCCAAGCCTCCTTTGGCCCGCAGTCCTCTCTGCAACATGCTTGAAGTGCATGTCTGAGACTCTCACCATAAAATGACACTACATAACTTACTCAGATAATGAGTTTTAAAGATAAAAGTTGCAGAAATTTGGTGGAATACAGTATAAATGACAGCACATATGTTTTTATTACATGAACAGTTTTCCTAAGAAGTCTTTGAACTGTGATGATTGGAAATACTGTCACATTCTTGTAGTCCTGCAAACCTAGAGAGTTCAGGGTGAATGGAAGCCAACATGGACCCTTACCCTAAACCTCTTTAAACCATCACCAACATCATCTTTCCCCAATTGTTAAATTTAGTCTTAGTCTTGTTTCAAATGTGCTTGTAAGCTTTTATCAGGTGGTTAATGGTTCATGTCTAACCTCAACCATTAGAGGTTAATGTCTAGCCTCAACCATTAGAGGTTAATGTCTAGCCTCAACCATTAGAGGTTAATGTCTTACCTCAACCATTAGAGGTTAATGTCTAGCCTCAACCATTAGAGGTTAATGTCTTACCTCAACCATTAGAGGTTAATGTCTAGCATTAACCATTAGAGGTTAATGTCTAGCCTCAACCATTAGAGGTTAATGTCTAGCCTCAACCATTAGAGGTTAATGTCTAGCCTCAACCATTAGAGGTTCACGTCACGTGAATGGTAATCCATCCCTGGTACACAGGAAACATTTCAGAAGCTTAGGCGTCTTGTTTTTTACATTTCTGTTATAGTTTGAGTTGTTTGCAGCTCATTAAATATAGTTACAGATACTTTGTGGCTGTACTTAAATAGGGTTAAGGTCAGGGTTAATCCTAATCCAAACAGCTGATGGAACGTTGCGTTTACTCAGTTCTACTCGTTGACTTGAATTGGTAAATCTTTGAATAATGCAAATCACCATCTATGTGAATAGTTACTGGCATGTGACGTCCTCACACCCACAGTTGATACACAGTAAAAATGGGGCAGGAGATGAGTTTGTCACCATTTTAGCTGTGACATCTGACATGTTTTCTGTCTCTGCATACAAATTAAACTGTTTCAGGTTTAGAAACTGAGTGCCGTCATTACGTCAGTGTTTGACAGCAGCTGCAGACCAGACCTGACCAAGGTTTCCACGACAACCAGTTTGAGAGGATATTAAGTACGGCTAACAGGGAAGCATATGTAAGCACACACAAACACACACAGAGTCCATTAGTCCAATGAAACATGATATCCATGAAGTAACCATACAATGAATAAAAAAGGACAGTGTGAGCTAGGCCTATACCCATCCACAGGAGCGACATAACATCCTGCCAGCAGAATGGGGCCTGTCCCCTTTTTCTAAGTGATTTGTATGGAAGTGAAAGGGAATCTGGCAGCAGATGCCGAGTGGTGAGGAGGTCAGCAGAGAAGGTCTTCTGCATTTGGTATTGTCTGAGAGTGCTACTTAGCGCGTGTATGCAAACGAACCATCCCGTCCAGCATAGCCTCTCTCCCATCACAAGGCCATTTGCAATATATGAGTAACAGTATATGAGAACTTCAAACTATCCAGAAACAGAACAAATGGGAGGAGAGGAAGAGAAAATGCAGGGAACTGAAACTCTTTACGTTTTTACAAAAGTGAGTTTGGATCATTGTCCAAAGAAGAGAAAATGAGAAACATGGAAAAAGAGAGGGGGGCAAGGTAAGGGATACTGCTGCAAGCATTGGAATAATGATGGTCTCCTCCTTTCATGAATCCAGCCTTATTGCAAATCCCTTTCTGTCTATTCTGAGGCATGCCCTCAGCAGGTATTCCAAATAACTACACTCTTAGTTATTAGCAAAGGTGAAAGTTAGTTTGAGGGCAGAGGATGTCTGATGCAATGTAGTACTTTTCATCAGAGTTGGAGCAGACAAAGTGGGGAGGTGATAATTAGATCTGTCACTCTGCTTTAATATCTGAGACCAGCTCGGCCCAGGGCTGGATTGTTGCAAAGAAATACCTCATTGTCTCTGCTGCTCAGGAACTGAAAATACAGTTTCCATGCCTGATACGCTCCCGCAAAATGTGCTGGTGAGGAGTGATGGGCTTCAGTGGGGTAACAC